AGGATATTTGTGAGGAGCATTTACATTATGCTACAGGGAAACATGATGTATTGTCCATCTGCCTACCACCCTTATATAAGTCACTGTTTCATTTTTTGTGTCCAGAACAACATTTTACCATCTTGGATACATTCTTAAAGCTACCAGGAACTGGATGATAAAGTATTTATACTTCTCAAATTATTTATTGGTACACATTGTTCTAACTGAAAGCCTGACCAAGAACATGATGACTGAGGACAAGATTTGTAGCTCTTTTGTTTAAAAAATGTCAGTTTATTAATTTTTTTTATCTTATATTCTGTCACTACTGGACACTTTTGTGAATGATATTGGTGTGGTCCCTTAACAGAAAGTAGTGGGAAATATCTGCTGTTGGTCTATTGGTATTCTCTTATAACTTTTGCAAACTGTGTTGGTTGTATTTTTGAGTAAACTGAAGGCATGTGGCCTCCTTTGGTTTGTAATTTAACCATTTTGTAGTGGGTGAAATCTGCTCTGATTTTAACGTGGGTATCAGTTTTTTATGCCTATTTAGTGAAGTCGTATAGTTCTGAGATATGCTCATCTATTTGAATAGATTCAAATTTCACTAAATCTGTCTCTGTGTGTTGTTAAATGGTATTCCATTCTATCCAAAACAACGTGTTTCAAATGCCAGTCAAACAAAGTTTCAGTCAGTCAAACAAAGATTTAAGTAGTAATGAAGGTACTGAGCACTAAGCTGTTTCACAGATATTACACAGACATGACACATCAGATGGGATGTCTTTGACTCCAGAAGTGCTTTAAGTCATCCAAAATGTTACATCAGTCTTTCACACCCTTCAGGATCCCCTTTTTCCAAAGTTTGCAGGTTCTTCTTGTCCTGTTCAGTGACAGCAGTTGCAGACCACCTACGAAGGGAACTGTTTGCAGACATACATCACTCTCTAACAATGAAACAAATTAACATCTTGCTTAATGCTGAACCATCCACAGGATCGGAGAGAGAGAGCTGGGATTCTCCACCCATTAATTTGTAAAATGTGGGAAGGAGGAATGAGATGCCAATAAATGGGATTTTTCCCCACAACAACTGAAGTTCCTATGTAAATCAACCATGACAGATTCATAATCATGTAGCAACTGACCTATTGGACAAAATGACACCCAAGCCTATTTACATACCGAATATCTGTATTGGGAGGGTTTTTCTCAAGTCTTTCAATTAAAATGATTGTGTCCTACAGAGTGAGTTTTCAGAGTACGTCAACAAACTGTTTCTGAAGGATTTACCTGGTTCTCGCTAGTGGTTTTTGTGGAATTCATGCTGGAAAATCTCCTTGCTCATTTGAAATGTCAGGGGTCAAAGAATCACAAGCATAATATGACATTTTGAGAGTAGTAATGCAAACTGGTCTGTCTGGATTTTGATTTGGACCTTGATCGACAATTCAGAACATGATCTTGTAATTTAATATACAGCTCTGTTCAGTGAGAGATGATATCAAATGTAATTTTATAAAATCTATTGAGCGGAGAGGTGCAGTACACTGCTCATTCTAGAAATGTTTCAGTATGGTTTCTGATGGAAACTTAAAAACACTTTGCAACATGGTGCTGAAATCTCAGTGGCTGCACTTTTTATGTTCCCTGGTGCTTTGTAAGCAGTAAAAGTTGTAAAAGCATTAATTTGTTTCTGTCATGGGCCATTATTCATTTATTCTGATTTTCATTTTATAAACCTACTCTAATGTCTGTTTTCTTATTTTAAGACAGAACAATACACTTTTGACTCAAAAATTGAATAAAAAACATTGCTATAAAAGCATGAAAATCACATTTTCTAAGGAGAAGGGCTAATTTAAAGTGATTTTTAAAGTAAATCCACAAAACTTACATAATACGTTATATCTAAAATGAACCATGCAGATTGCTCACCTGATGTTCTGTTTTTTAGTGAGATATGCAAACTTCTTTGTGATTTGTAGCGATTATAGACTTTGATTTTGAAAATAGGCAAGCATTGAGTGAAAAGGTTGTATGCGTGTTACTTGAATGCCAACTATTATTCAAATAGCTTAGCAACTACAGGCAGAGGAATCCAGAGTCATTTTTGTGGTTTTTCTCCAAACCCCTGTGTTCAGCCTTGCATTTATGATGGCATGTAGATTAGACACCCCGGATCTCTGGCACAGAACAATAATAGCTCGGGCTCTGTTACTCATCTCCAAAATTACGGGGGTGCAGGAGACATTTCATTTTGTTGTAGGGCCTTATTGAATTTTCTTTAAAAAAAAAACATTGCTAGCTTTTCATTCAGTTTAAACTATTCCGCAAAACGCAGTGTCTGCTTCATGAATGGATGAGTTCACATCCAAGAAATGACACTTGTAATCTTCATTATTTGGATGTAGATAGCAGGGAATTTTGGGGCAATAACTTCACAGCTCGTTTGCATTATTTTCATCTACTTCCTACTGTCACTGCTTGAGATGCCTTGCCATTTTTCTTCTCTCTTTGAAACTTAACCTGCATTAGAGGCTACACCCTGACAAAGCAGTCTCTTGGAATTTTCTGGTTTATTTTTAATTTGAGTGATCATCTTCCTTCCATAGTACAGGCGGGGATTGTCTGTCTCTTCAATCCTACCTCAAAAATTTAGTGTGAACGAGTGTGACCGTGTGCTGTAACTGGTCACTTCTGCCCTTGCTAAATCTGATCTAAGAAATTCCTGCTGGCATAAGAGAGCAAAGTTCCCTTTCAACTGTGGTTAGTGTTTGGAGTGTTTATTTTTCACAGTATTTCCAGATGCATTTGTGCTTACCGTATTTTTTGTCTTATGTGGGATTACAGTACTGTGCATGGTGTACACTCCACCTAGATGGGCAGAATTCAGAACGTGTGGCTGACACCCAGGTTATTGTGATCAGATCGGTGTTGTCCAACTGTAGGGAAGAACCTGCTTTTAATCTAAGAAAAGAATATAGTTGATTATCTGTGAGGGTGTTGTGTTAAATTTTTTCAAAGAATTCCTGGGATGGTCACCTTATAGGTGCATAGTGTTTTATTTTTCCTCAAGTCAGGCTCCCCTCCCTGTGGATGTTGGATTACTCTGTGTGCAGTAGTGCACGGCGGGGGTACAGTGTCCTTCTGAGTGGTGGAAGCTGGCTGGCTGGGCATTAATTGACCACAAACCCCCTCGCTGTTGCTGTGATTTCTGTGCATCATTGTTCAACTCCCGGCTTCTTGCACTCCCTGAGAAGTGTTCCCCCAGCCAATCAGCGGTGCTCAGGGGATGCTCGCTGATATCGCACATCCTCACATGCTGATATGGGGGTGGTTTGTCATGGATGTTACTGTCACAGCCCCCAGAAGATCACATGGTGCAAGAGCAGTTTTCAATAAAATAACGTATTAAATCCTTCTTATATGCTACTATAATATACTGCTAGTATATTGTACTTCTAAAGGCCAATGAGGACATTGCATTTTCAGTTCTACCTGAAATGTGAAGTAAAGGTGTGTTTTTCTTATGCTTTAATTTTAGATGGCATGGTGCTTTCATGTTTGATATGACACTGGGGCTTAGCATTCCTAGTTTGTGTATTTTTAAATATAGCTACCCAAACACAAGTTTTCATGCTTTTTGAAAGTTGTTTATTTCCATTTCCTATACAAAATAACTCTACACTTCTGTACATTTTAATTTAATGCACCCCCCCCCCAAAAAAAAGTGTGAGCTCTGTGATGAATGTGTGGTTTAACAAGTTTAAACGAAAGCCTCAGTTTCCTTTCATTTTCTCTTTTTTTCCATTGTGTTCTGTTTTGTGATGCATGTTTGGAAATGCTCCAGCTTGCTCAATAGAAGTGTGCCTTTCTAGTTGTCTTATAATATGAAATAAACTGTATAGCAGAACCTGAATACATGCACTCACAAAACCTTGTCTTCTGTTCGGACTCTCCAAAAGAGTCAAACAATGTTAGTGCATTTAATTAAAACAATAGAATTAACAAAAGGAAGTTATATTAAACCTAGTACAAATACCCTAGTAATTGTACATTAGACAATTGAAATAATATTGAGTGTAGTTTTGATCTTAAAGTTAAGAAAAATTAAATTGTTGCTCTGGAATTTGAACCATATATTGTATATACCCATGCTTAAAGCAACTTTAACCAGTATCCTACACTGACAGACTAACAGAACTGAATCTTTTTTGGTTATGAACAGAGAGGATTATGGATAGGATCTGATTCAAGTTTCTTCAGAATCAAAAGCTGAGATTCTTGTGTCACTATTTGCTTCTGCCAGCCAAAGAAGCTGGATGATCTGAATGGCGTTTTGTTTACAACCTATCTTATCTGCTAACAACAATCCCTGGTCGTGTGCAAATGGAGAATTAAGTAGGATTCCTGGAGGATTCTTTCCTGTGGAACATGGACAAGACTGTGCTTGTATGAAGTGTGATATGTAACCTGGTTTTACCTGTTTGTGGCTCTCCGATATACCTGTAGAGCAGATGTTAGTTTTCATGTTCTATTTTTGAGTAACATGACAAATGAGGTTAACTTTGCTCAAGCCACAGGACGTTACTGTCTGCATGGTCTGCATTTTGTAATTCACTTCCTCTAACGTAATGCTGCAAGTGCTGTAAGTGATGTCTAAGATAAATATTCTCTTTTTTTGTGTAAAGAAGCAAATTGCCATATAAAATTTACAGTAAAAAAAAAGAAATAAAGAAACACTCACGTGGAGATGCGCATAGATGCCAATAAAAACAGAATCCGATTTCTAAAATTTCTGTTTCATTGCTGTAATACTATACTACTGTAGACTTATTACAGACTTTCTTAAGACAATTATAAATCAAAGATCTGCTGGTTATTTTGAAAAGATATTTATAATATTTCTTCCCAATGATGAAAAAATTAGCAAGAACATTCTACACTTTTTCACTTTTTTTAATTCAGTGCTTTCCTTTTTATCCTAATTTTTCATTGTTTTTTTTTTACAGGACCCTGCAGGAATTTTTGAACTGGTTGAACTCGTTGGAAATGGCACATATGGGCAGGTGTACAAGGTAAAGCTTCTGATCTTTGCTCCTTTATGCTTTGGAATGCCGTCATGAAAATTTAATGTAGTGTGAACAAATGTTCACTTCTGATCTTACCTTTCCTGGATCTATCCAGGGCTAGAATGTCCAGATTTCAATAGGGAACAGCAGCCAGACAGACAATTTTGTATTTCAAAAGGAAACTTTTCTCCTGAGTGCTGCCGAGTTCTTCAAAGAGTTCCCATCCCATAGGGGTCATCTTAAACATTTACCACTTGGTGCTGGAGGTGCTGAGCTGTGGAAAAACAGATTCAAAGTGAAAAGGTTGGTGTTTGTCAGTTCTGGAAATGAATAGCCACTGTTAGACTGCCTGTGGTTTAGCTGTAGAAAACCGAGATCACTATGTTTGAATGGTTTACATTTCATTCATCACACCATTTTAGTTTTAAAAAGTTTTACAGACTTGGAGCCATATAAGAAACGTAGAATAACTGCTTCCTTTGAGCCTCCAGGGTTTAGAAGGTTGTCTCTTTTGGGGAAAAAACAGTTTTTGTGTGCTTGCTGTATGTTCCTTGAATACTTCACGATTTGTTGCAGTTGCTTTGTTAATGTGTTGTATCTCAATATAGACTGATTTCTTAAATTCTTTTACATATTCTTTTAATTTGATAGATTTTAAGAGTATTCGATTTCAGTGTCTCTTCTTGGAAGATTGGAATCCTTTTGCGTTTATAAACTGGACCTTATTGATTTAAAATCCATCCCATTATCTGAAAACAAAACACACAGTCATAACGCATGATCTTACCAGAGTATGTAAAAGGCAAGAAACAGATGTGGCATTAAACATTACTCTTCCTGCTTTCTTGGTGTATTAATAATTTAGTTTCACAAATTTACAGAAGCATTCAGCTGAGAAGATGGGTTTTAGCACTATCTCTTAGGGAGCTGACACTTTGAAAGCATAAGCTGCTTTTTTTTACAACCCTGTGGGAATTGTCCACTGGAATGGAAATCCATGGCTTTCAATCTTGTATTTGAATGGAGACTGAGGGGTGGAAGAAATGAACAACTGAGACTTGCCATCCAAAAGATCGGTCTTTTTGTGCATATTACTTGAAACCTGCTTCTCTCCTGTGTGCGCGTGTTTCTTCAAATCAAATATATTGGCAGACTTTAATGAAATTGGCTGCTTTCTCTTTTTTGCTTAGTCCAAGTGCATGTCAAAAGAGAAACATACACTCTGCTCTCTGGACCAGAGTTTTCAAGTAAGTGTCTTAGTAATGTGACCAGGGACACTGTCCTGTTGGAGGTGAGGCAAGGCCGTGACTTAACTTGGTTATGGGAGATCATGTGGAACTTTTCAAAAGAAAACGGTGTTAACCCCACTGTCCTGGTTCAAATTCACTTTTGAGCTTGAACAGTCTGGCTTTCCTTAAATTCTCCATTCATTCAATTGGAGAAGCAATTTCTCTCTTCTCTACCTGGTGTGGTGTGGTAGAGCTCTTGGCACTTAATGGCTTCATTTTAGTGGGGGATGACTTGCATTCCCTCTCGTGTGTAAAGTACTTTGGCTTGAAAATCACTGCACAAATGCAAGCAATTCCTAATAATAATAATTAATTTAACAAGCTACGCAGTGCAACTAGACTGAAAGACAGTCATGTTTTTTTAGTACTTTTTAGTAACAGTTTGACAAATTTTGAAAGATTATAGATGTTGCACATATCAACATAAAGGGATAAACTTTGGAATAGAAAAGCAGACAGAATCTGGTTGTCCAGGTCCCTTAATTCCTACTGGGCCAGATGCCGTCCAATTATTAAGGGTTATAAATGTTTGCAGTCTCAGTGGCTTAGGATGTACTTCTACTGTACAGGTTATAACAGATTAGGATGTTTCTTTTTATGAATGCAGAAATTACGAGTTGTTATTCCTCCCACTTTAAGTGCATTTACAACTTGGGTTAGTACATTATCCATGATCAATTTTAATGCATTTCTAGTGTTTGAGGGAGTGAACTAAAAGATTTTACAAACTGATATTGAGATATTATATACTGATTGTTTGCAGTTCTTGCAATAATTAAAATTCACACTCATAGTGACAAGTTGACATCCGTTATTATAAATCAGGAAATGTAGTCGGGAAGAAGGGCATTAGTGGTCTCTACAAATGGAAGCCACAATTCATCTCGTTCTTGACAGTTTTGTTACTGAAAACCACCCTGTACTTTTTATGTAAAACCAGTAGGCAAGAGAAGCATGCTATTCTTTTAGGTACATTAAAAGGAAGGCAAACGCTGTGTCTCAAAGATGACAGTATCTTATTCGATTTCATTTGCAAGTCAGTAGTGCTGCAGGTGTCTGGAACAAAAAAGCAGCTTCTCTGTCACTTGAAACGGCAGCGTCTCAATGAGTGATTTGCATAGGGAGCACATTCGATTTCAGAGCAATTTGTTATGGGAATCCAACTAATTCACTCCTTGAAATAACTCTTCCCAACCTCCAGTGTTTTTTTTTTAATTCATTCTTTTCAGTCTTAGCTAGCAGTGCTAGAGCTCTCTCCTTTTATGTGGAGAGCAAAAAAAAAAACTGGAAAAGAGGACCAGCATGGGGACGGGCTGTGAGACCAAATGCTTTACATTAGTGGTAATGTTGTTTAAATCCATTTACCTCTTCAAGAGTGTGTGTAAAAGCTGCACTCGGCTTATCCCACAGACCATTTTTCCACGAGGAGAAAACAGGCCGGCTTCTCTGACAGGTAAAAGTATAATTGGGTCACTGGAACAAATAATGTCAATTTCTTCACTCCCATTTGGCATTATAGCTGGAATGTGTCCCATCAGTGCCCACGCATATCCCAACATTATGCACGTCTTAGTAGTTGCTGCGCTCTGCATTTAGGATTTGACTCAATTTCCTGTGCTGTAACAATGTTAGAGGTTGTGCACACAAAACGGAAAACTTCATTTGTTTGAAATTGATTTTTTTTTCTGAGAATACACACCTGTAAATTTACCCTCATATAAAACATTAAAATCAGGAGCTCCGTGTAAATAAAATATTTGTAATGGCTACTTCAAATCATGTCTAGGTGTGAACAGATAAACTGTTTTTTTAACACAGGGAGTAACTACTGTACGTACTGTAACTGTTACTTTACGCTCAAATATTATTATTCATTTATACATTTATCCAGAATTGATTAAACTATGTTGTGAACCTTCAGATTTCTCTGTCCAATCCCTGTCTCCCTAATTTATTTTAGGATGCAGAGTTGAAAGAAGAAGATACTCTTAGTAAAAAAATAAAAAGCTTAGGAGCCTCTGTCAAGCTCACTCAGGATAACACAGAGTAAATAATCTGCAACAGTAGCGTGCTTTCCATTCACCGTTTTAAATTTGCCAGGCCTGTAAACAGAGTAATTCCATGGATTTTTAACAAGATGTGCTTTTAAAATAGTCAAAGGGAGCAGGGTGACCTCACACCGTCTTGTGAAGATGAGGGCCGATGTGTTGCCCACGGTCAAGTGTCACTGGAAATCACACAACCTGGGATGTTGGAGTCGTCCACACTGTCGTCAGCGTCAGGGGGAGGGGAGCAGTATTCCCCCGGTGTGACCTGGCAGAAATAATTTGGTCTTTTATCACTTGTCTTCAACACAGAAATGAAAACTGAGGCGCATAATTATATCAGACAATTAGCTAGTTAACCCCTAAGTTAAATCAAAAACCCAGGAGGGCAACCTCTCTTTCAGTGTTTGAGTATATTGGCTTTTGACTTCGATCATCAGGAAGCCAAGTTACTTTGCCAAGCCAGGATTTGATTTTTGACGATCTGTGGTGTCTTACAAAGTGACGTACACAAAGAACAAGGAAAGTTTTGAACCTGTTTCTGCATGAAAAGAAATGTCTAGTTCTGTGCTATTGCATGAATTACACAAAAGAAGGCAGATTAATGGAAATGTGTTTGTGTAATTTAGTTTAGGTTAATTGTTCTTACTCTTGTTTGTTTCTGTTCAAAGTCCTTTATCATAAGATATGCGCTTGCCTACTTCAGGAGAAATGTTTTGCCACACACTTTCAAGAGATTGAACTTGGACTTGTCTTGATCGTAGTAGAATTCTCAGCTTTGTCAAAACAGAGAAGCTATTGTGTTTCCATAGATTATTAGAGCTTTAAGATAATTGAAGACAACTTTGCCAGTCACACAATACAGTATATACTGTAGATGGATGAGAGGAAGCCTGTATGGTTGTAGGCTGGGTTAGCTCAGTGGCTTAGGCATTTTTCTGTGAGCCCTCTAGTGTGTTTGCTCAAAGTGGTGAAACTGGGTAAGGCTGTACTGTACAGGACACATCCTGCCACCTGCGTGGCGGGCACTAGAAATTTTCTTTCTAGTGAAGAGTGGCCAAGTTCTGCTATCAGGGCAGCGTGTGGCAACACAGAAATAGTGAATTTTGTCAAAACATTTTTCTCAGGATGTCAGCCTCATAACAAAACCTTACACAACAACATTGTGTGCCTAAAATCAAAAGTTGCTTTTCAGTCTCCTGTATCTGTAATCATCCTCTTCCCACACTTTACCATGTAAAACATACAATTTCTAGTCATGTGTCCTGAGAACATTTTCTGCACTTGTGTATAAAATAAAATACACGTTTGGATGTCGTTTGTGTAGAAACCCAAAACTGTGTGTTTTGTTCCAATTCTGTTTTCAGCTAACCAGTAAAATAAGTGTGATTTTTGAAGCTATATTAGAACACACTGACCTATTTTTTGTTGTGCTATTTTTTAAAACCACGTGCCTTTCACCATGTACGTGTGGATGAGATGCAGATGTTTTAAACTTAAATAATATTGAACCTCTTTTTTTCCCCATTTGTAATGTTTTAAAAAATAGGCCTTGTAGGACTATTAAGAAATTAATCTTTTATACAGACAATTTTCTTGGTTTGCGAAGGCAAACATCAGCCTATACGAGGTTTGTAGATTAGTATTAATGAAATATTAAATTGAAATATAT